TGCAATGTTACTCTCTCATGCCCCCTATTTCTTTGTCCCCCTTGAAAACATTTCTACCAACAGACTAGTCATTAAGCCCTACCTTAATAAAATGCATGATACAATCAATTTCATTTTCTTGCACAAGCGGCAAGGCATTTCACTCTTGTTCACCACCATAGTCGATCCATCAAATGCAATTGCCTTGTTGTTCTTCTGTGATAGCAATTCCGACACTGATGTTTTGTTAATTTCACTTTTAAAAGGCTGAATACAGATTCGTGAACAATTTTCATTAGTTATGTTTTCTTCTCTCATTAATGGTTATATTTTTGACTAAAGGTCTAGTTTTGCTACCTCGGTCAATCTCAAATCATGAAATATTTTAAAAACTAATTACTAAAACAAATCAAATGCCACATGTATGTATTTTAAGGCTGTCTTTAAATTATTCAAGCATTATTTCCATGTTGCTTTACTCTGAAAATGAAGTTCTCCTTGGGGAAAGTGTAATTGAGGTCAGAAAAGATGTGTGTATCCAGGAGAATGATATAAATAGCAAACAGGAGGAATTGGTTACAAATACTGTATGCAAATTGCTTTTTGCAAACTACTTTTGCCTTTGCCTTCTTGTGTGAGCTTTGTGGAATTTTAAGTGTCTTATGCCCTAATGAAAGGTAACTTACAATATTTCATAAAAGTGAAAATCAACATTTTCAGGTAGGTATGCCAAACATAACATAGAATATTTTATTTAGACTTTTTTAAAAAAAAATAGGGTGTTTTTTTTAAAGAAATCCTGCCATACTGTATTTCCTTTTACTTCTGCCTTTTTCTCTCAAGGTCTATTATTGTACTCAGTGTCATACACATATATACATAGCTGCATGCACACCTGTTTATATTTTATTGGAGATAAATATGACCTTTCCCTAGATATTTCTTTATTTTCAATGAACTAGTTGAATGCTTCTTACTTTCTTCCAATATTAAGACTTGATAAGTGTGATCATGAATTTGTGTCAATGGACATACACTTGGAAAGTGCATTGTTAGTTTCTCCTAAACTGCTTGGGAGAAAAATATACTGACAGGAAGGCAATAGAAGTAATGTCATGATTTCTATCACACCTGATGCCACATATAAACTTTATTTCAATGCCTAAGAAGAACCCTTAGAAACCCATTATGTATAACAGATGCCTGAATTGTTGTTATCTCACTTGTGTAAATTATATTATAATTTTTCAAGTTGTTTTCGTCACATATTTTTGTTTTTAAATGGTTTGACAGCTTGTTTAGCTTTTACTGTTAAAAAATTAAAACCGCTAATTGTCATTTGAAAATAATAAATGCATTAGAATTCATAAACAGCAAATAACAAGAACCATCCGCTACTTGAGTGTTTGAACAGACGGGAGCTGTTATGTTTTCAGGAGCCAAACTTATGAGTTTCCAGTATGAACAAAGAACTATTTTTTTCTTTTTTTATCCCTCTTGACCAACTACATCTATGGTCTCCATGGATTGTGCTTAACTTTCAGGCAATGGTTAGCTCTTTCAGAATATGTTTATGTTTTCATTTTGATTTTTTTCTGGGCAAAAAATATATGTATATTCCTACTACTTACCATTTTATTTGGAGAAGAAGAAGAAATATGGAGGAATATTTCTTATTTTTGTAGAGGTGTATAGATTTTCATTGAAATATTGAAACATTGGGTGTTTTTTTTTTAGAAATATTCATTACTCTTAATAAAGAGATTAAATAGGACAGTGTGACTCCATATTTTCTAAAGTTTGGCAAATGTTTAGATGGCAACTGCAGTTCCTTCCAGAAATGATACTACCATCTGCCATTTGCTTTTTGGCAAAGCAATAAAACAAGCAGCACACTCTAAGTAATTTCTTCCTGTTTTCTGTTTATCTCATTCCCATTTTCCTGTATGATGATGCCAAAAGCCTCCCCCCACCAGCTATAAACAAGTACAGTGTGATAATCTTCCTATCTCAGAACTTGTGTTAACACTAGTGATATTAATACAATATTCTAGGTGTGACCTGGGGGTTTTTGGGGGGTGGGGTGGGAGGATAACAAATTCCCCAACGAATAATGTTGAATATCACAGAAGCTTACCCGTTTTGTGATGTTTTGGCCATTCCTAATAAAAGTGCAAGTTAGCTACACCTGGGAGTTCATTAAAATTTAAAATAATCTTATAAGAAACACATATTTGATTAATTAAAGTACCTGCATGGATATTCATATCAGCTCATAACAAATGTTTGAATGATCTCTTCATTTTCAGTGATGGATCATAAATTATATGTAGGGGACTATTAGTTCTCATCTCTCATACTTTCCCATCCACAGTTGATGTCTTTTTCAAAGTATCCCGGAGGAGTTTTTTACAAAAATTGGGGGAGGCATTCTTACTATGCTGCCAGATCAAACAAAACAAAACCCTCAGTTATGCTATGTTACTTTTCTTATAATGCTTATGAATCCTATTTTTGAAAAACTTTCCATTCTTACAATGTATCATATATTGGAAAGGCTGAATAATCTTGAGATATAGATAGGGCACTTTTTTCTTGCATATAATGTTTACGTTGTATACTTTCATGTGTATACATTAATTGAGAAAAAAATATCTATTAAATATCTAAAGACCTTATGCAGATTTATTTGTATGAATAATATTTAATTTTCATTTAACAAATTTTGGTGCTTATTTATACATTGATGCAATTAAGTATTTCAAATATTTTAAATAAATATTTAGAACTGTATGATATTTGAAGGATATATATGTGTGTGTACACACACACAAACAATTTCACTCCATACTTCTGAGACGGTATAAACTTACCTTTAACAAGTAGACCAAATAAAATTCTCAAACAATCCTAGTCTGGTTTTAAGCTAAAGATCTATGAGAAAGAAAACAAGGTCTGTAGAAGTGTTTGCTTTTGAAAACTTAATTGCTTATCTTCCTCTTAAAGGAAGACTTTACTATCCTATTGGATTGAATGATGATAAAATATCAGGGTTTTTTGTTGTGTTGTTTATGAGTTTTACAAAAATAATAATGAAATTTCTGCTTCATTTAATATTTAATAACAAGATCGCTTCTTTAAGAAGCAAAGCACATAGTGCTTCAATTTAATTATGAGATTGTAACTCTACTGAAAGATTTTCCTTAAATTGTGATTAAAAAAGACAACCTTTTAAGCAGCTAAGAGTAATGATATTCTGCTAAGAAGAAATGTAAGCTTGCAATAATGAGAAGTTTTCCTTTAAAATTCTTGAAAGATGGTTTCTAAATTGTGTTCCTGAAATTGGCATAGCAATATTCTATACTAGTGACAATTTCATGTCACCCTTAAAGGATGTTCCTCATGTAGAATACATTGCAATGATGGGCATGGGAATGAGTTAATGTCTCAGGTTAGCTGGTGGTTTAGTCCAAACTGATTAAAAGCATTCCAGACCATTAAGGCTATTTGAGCACCCATTGAAGATGTACCATGAAGTAGTCTCAAGCTATTATCTACTCCCAAACTAATGCCTACTCCAACACAACACCATCCTCAGAGCTCCATTTGGTTGGGATTCTGATTGAACTTACTAGCCCTCATCCTGCAGGCTCTGGTTGAATATAGTAGGCTGGATTCCCAGGAGGGACAGAATGCATTCCAGAGGAATAAAAGACAGTCAGTTCACATATCTTGGGTGAGAGAAAGAGGATGAAGTGATAATAGATTTTCTGACTATATGGTAGATGTATATAGTATACATAGCATGCTTCAGTTTGGCAAGATTCTGCCTATAGGTATAGAAATGTTTTTTAAAAATCAACATGGAAAAAATCATTATCTTGCAAGAATTTCTTGACTTTTGCGCCTGATGGATCCAGAATTTATATATGCCCATCTAAATCTGAGGAAGAGTAATAAAGAATGGTTAAAAACTACTTGATAACTTCACCAATGGCTTCATACCAACATTAAATAGGAGAAGGCCAATCTGACAATACTCTGTAGCTTAATAATTATGGAACCAACAGAACTTTCCTATTATCAGTTTCTACAACTAATCAAACTGTCCTTTCATTCTTATTTCATTCGAATTCTATATTCTTGTTTCACTTTGATATCTATATATATCACTTTGATATCTATATATATCTATATATATTCACTGACACTATAATATCCCTAGAGATATGTCAGTTATACATCAAGACACCCAGGTATCTTACACATGGATAATTCTTAAGTCAACTGAAGCTTTATATGTGTTCCATATGACTCAGAAGTAGGCAAGAAGTCTCTGAAATCAGATATTAAAGTTACTTTTCACTAGAAAATATTATTTAAATCTGCTGTCGTCACCTAAATTATTTTTTCAGTTCTGCAATGCATGGTATGTAAAAGATGATAGATAGATAGATAGATAGATAGATAGATAGATAGATAGATAGATAGATAGATAGATAGATGATAGATAGATAGATAGATAGATAGATAGATAGATAGATAGATGATAGATAGATAGATAGATAGATAGATAGATAGATAGATAGACAGACTGACTTTGCTCCACATACCAAATCAGAGACTCATAGAAACCTAGATCTTAGCTTATGTCACCCAAGAGAACTACTTAACTCTTATATCATCTTTTATTATATATAATCTTTTATCATATTATACTTCTAATAATATCATCTTTCAAAATGTTACTATTTCCAAATAATAAAAAATACCAATAATTGAGAATAGCATTGCAATATCCGAGATCACTAGTAATACATTTTAATTATATTAAAACTTATAACCTTTTTTTTTTTTTTTTCAATATCCGAGACCACTAGTAATCAATTTTAATTATATTAAAACTTATAACCTATTTTTTTTCTTGTTTTTCCTGTAATTTCATCAGACCACCATCTTGTACACATGGCAGTTCACTGACATGTGTAGCTGCTTCTGATTCCTGCTTTTGTTTTTTGCAGAACCCACGGGCATGATACCAGTTTTGACAAAAGGAGTAAATGCATCCTCACGTAAGTCAAGTTGAATAACTTGCCTCCCTAATGCTAATTCTACAGATTCAGGTTTTTCCCCTAGCTTTACTCTGCACCGTTATACTTTGGATAGAGTTTAGACCTATCATAGGGGGAAATAATGCAACTGTATCCTGGATCTATATTTATGAGTTGAATTCTCAACTGGAATTTAGTGCCTTTCTCACCTCTAAAAACGCACTTAAATTATAAATTGTAGCAGCCTATTACAAGTTGCAACTTGCTAGGTATTCATCCTTTCTTTGTCTTCCTTGACAAGATACTTTCTTTTTTTGGCATGAGATATTAATGCCTCTCATTTCCTCTTGTGTTGCATGCATCCTCTTAACAAAATAGCACTATTTAAAAAGAGCTGCTGCTAGATTTAGATCTTTTCCTTATCTTGCTTGTATTGCCTCTGTTCCACATCTTGGATTGTATTTGCCTTTTTAAGCTTCCTTTTCATAGAAATTAGTTTTTGAGAGAGGACCGACATTATTTACAGTGGAGCTACCTACATATGGAGTTTTTAAAACCTACTCTTTACAATGTCTGAAAGAGAGTTTTCACTCCGGCAGCTGTCTTATATGCTCATATTGCATGCTGCTGCTTGTTCTATTCATCTGTCACTTTTGTGACACAGCAGAATAATGAATGCTGCATCTCTTTAGCTTTTCTGAGATTCTGTTGTTTAACACTGCTACTTCTGGAGTGGTAGCACTCCGAAACTAGAGCGGAGCATGTGGCCTTCTGAATGCATGTTTTGAAATGTTACTGGATTTTGGCATGTGACTAGTTTTTGCATTTCATAAAGATCCTCTGTCTTGCCTTTCCTGTGGTTCAGTCTCCCATATCAGACTGAAAATTCAGTCACTGATTTTATTTCTCTTTTCTTCAGCTGTTTCAGATCTGTACTTCGTCAACTTGTCAACTTAACTTCATTCAGATTTTTTTAAAAAAATCTATTTGAATTATCATTATAAAAGAAATGTTTGTGGTATCACCCAAGTTCCATTTCAGATGTGCAATTCAATCTGAAAAGGTGATTTCAGTGGATCACTTTTGAATCAAAGCTTTGGATACACATAGTCTAATTATTTAAAATTTATCAACATTAAATGCACCATTAAACTTCTTTCGTTCTTTTGTATTTTGCTCCTAGTACAGATTTTTTCAAAAGTAGTGCTGGTCATGAATTCTTTACAGATGTCATCTAAACATCTGAATTTTCTTATGAGACTCAGGATAAATAATCTAGTCAGAAATTATATTTATTTCTAGTACTTTCTATCAATATAATAATATAGTAGTCCTTCAGTTCAGTATAGTGATATCTTAGGATACTCTTACAAATGGTTACAAGCATTTTCCTTAATTCTGCTAGTTTTCTGCCAGGAGTAAGGAATGTTTTTAAGATTAATTTTTGCTGATTAGGACCACATGTAATTTCTTTGTAATTCCCTGCTATTCAGAGTTGCTTTTTCAACCATTTTCCTCAAATAATTTGACCTTCCTAGGAAGACAAAGGTTAAGTTCCACTTCAAATGGATAAGATTTTTCCATCTCTATTACCATGTTGCTTTCTGTGTATTGCAGAACTCATAGACAAGATTTCTGCCTCTACTGAAGGAACAAATACATCTTCTAGTAAGTATATAGTACTAGCAGTCTTCATGAATCTACAGCACACCTCTATTTGTTTCATATACTGATTCTTGGGTTACAAAACTAATTGCAAAAAGAGTCAGATTTTTTTAAACCACCTTCCCCAACTAGTATCTTTCAAATACATTTTTTGCCACTCCCCCATCATCTAAAAAATCGCCATAAAAATATCCATCACATCTTAAGCTAAAACCCATTATATCTGGGAGGCACAAAATGTAAAAGGAATTATTTCCATAAAAAGAGAAAGCAATTTGCTTCCTTTCTTAAAAACAAATCTTTTCCCCTTTCTTTTCTAGAAAGGTTTTTTTCCATAGCAGACTGTTTCATTAGGTTTTCTGCCAATATTTTTAAGCAGATTTGGAAGCAGTAGTTATTAATGTTTCTGACTCCAGAATATGCAAATAAACCTAGCCTTTAGATAATTAGATAATCTTTTTACATAATTGGAGTGCACAGAATAATCACGTATTGGAAGAATGCCTATGGTGAAATGATGTTTTATTAAACATATCACTTCTTCATTGTAGCAAAGAATCATGAGATTATGAAAGTTCTAAAGACACTCTCTTTCATAACTATACTGTGCTGTGTGTACTATACTTTGCTTCAAGAAGGAGTTCTTTGCTCAAACTAATGTGTTTTGTTCAATGATCCTTTTGACTTCCTTGAAGAAGTAATGCTAGCAATATTAAGAAGATGACATTGTCACAGAGAGATCAATGGATTTGGGCTGACGAGATTGTGGGTAATGTCCAACATAATAATAATGCAACATACGTTGTAATCTTGGCCCAATCACAAGACTGAGTGAATAAGATTGTGGGGTCTAGTACACAGGTGTCAAACTCGATCGCATCGCATCACTTTTTTTGCCTTTGGGGAGCCTGGGTGAAAGTGACCTGCGCATAATGCATCTGGCTCATGGGCCGCCAGTTTAACACTCTTGGTCTACTATATCTGAAGAGTTTACTCCTATTAGCTTGAAATTCTAAGATGATGTTCCAAGGATTTTCTGCAAGGCGCAAACTTCTTTCTCATGACTTTATAATGAATTAGGCACATGAGTATGGTAAATCAGATAAATGCATTATATGAAGGGTTGGCTTGAGTGCGATTAAGCTAGGTTTCACATTAAAAAAAATTTGAAGAGGTATTTTGGGTTGAAATAATACTGAGAAGGAGATGAAAATTGGAACAATTAAAAAGACAGAAGGTCTTTGGACAGATGAAACAGTTGGAGAAGGAAAGTTTTTTTGGAAGGAATATTGTGTGAAATAAGGAAATTGGAAAATAGGCTAGTGGAACTAGATGAATAATAAAATGAGTTCTTAATAAGATAAAGACATTGAAGATCTTTCATTTCTGTTTCAAAAAATCCAGATTTCTGCAAAAATTCTTTTAATGTAAATATCTAGTTTGATAATTTTAAACGTATGTATGTTTTCAACCTTCTGATAAGTACCGTATATTTTGCATGAAATTTTAAAGTGGTAGAAAAACTGTGATTCCACCTCAAGATCCATGTCAACATAGTCAAACAACATCTGTCAACTTTGATGGGTTCAAATATCCAAAGCCAGCTAGATTCTAAAATTGGGGAAATCCTATCCTTTGATTGATGTCCTAGATAGACATCTGCTACATTGGACCGGGTTTTAATGGCCCATAATTCCAATTCTGTGATTCTGTGCCAGATAAGTCTCCCTAATCTCTTTACATCATTGTAACAGAAGAAAGTAAGTAAAACCTGTTTATGATTCCCAACTCTAGGATGGTGTGGAATGGATGAGTGGATGGACGGACGTATGAATAAATTTTAATTTCACCCTTCCACCTTCGTACTGTGAAAAGATAAATTAAAACACTCTGACTTCAGATCAAAATCTGATGCCTGCCATTACTACACAATTGTTTTTATTTTTCATATCAATAGAAAACTTTTTTTTTCTCTCATGCTAGGTTATGTCTAGCCTCGGTATGTGTCCCAACACACAAGCTATATTCTGATCCCTATATTCATGGGAATCATAATTGCAGAAAATACAAATAGGTTGTAAAGTATGATGCTACTCCATAACAATTTTGAGAACTAATACTGGTCTAAGAGGAGATATTGGTTATATAACAAAATAGGTTCCTTACATTTTAGCGAGATTTCTGTGTTAGCATGTATAGTATACAAATATTTTACTGATGAAGTGCTCCAATAGTGCGGCAAGCTCCAACCACAATTAAAATTATTAGGATAAAATAAAAGTAAAAATTATATAAAATTAGTGCACTTCAAGATATGTTTCTAAGCTCATAAAAACACTTATAGAGATATAAAACCTTATACCTAGCAAGCCTGCCATTTGTCTTTACCTATAGGATTTACAACAAAGTATTTTCATTGCTTTAGTTGTGCAGTACAATAATGAAAGTAGGAAAATTGCTGTTTATTTCAAGCAAAAGAGCAAAAGCAGCGCATTCTGTTTTAAACTCCCAGTAAATTATTCATTCCTAATCTGTGTGTATTTGGGATTTATTTTTCCATTGTATGGATTTTGTAGTTATTGATTTATATTTTTTTCCTCTCCATCCATGTAACCATAAACATCTGCTCCTTTATACATCCGATAAAGTTTTGTGTATGTTGGTTTCTCTCACAAGAGGCTTTCTCTTCTTCTGGCACCAGGCTAATATAACCACTCTTCTGGAATTTCTGTGTGACCTTGTAAGGTAGAACACATGTATAATTTATCAATTTAGGGAAGTTATACTTCCTTGCTAGTTGGGCAGAATACATTTATTTCATTAGCAAGCAGCCTTTTTCTATAATAGGATTAGTGTAAAGAATATATCAGCCAGGCACTCTTCTTGGACACACTGAAAGGCTTCAGTAGAAAAGAGTATATGTCAGCTGTCAGAGTCTAGCTAAGAGGTTGCTGGTAATCAATGGCCTCGTGGGATTGATGGAGCCATCTTTCAAGTGGAAGACTGCTGTTCTTCCTGCTATGGGCTCAGATTCACATAGGCAAGAGGGGAAAAAACAGATTATTAACTCTCTAAAAATACTATCAGCTGTTACACTACTAAAAAGATCAAGAATGAATGATCAAAATCAAGGAAAAACCAGAGAACCACACTGGGTTTGTTTTATAAACTCTTCAGAAATGAAACCTTTCTAGAATAGAATTCTGCTTAATCTACCCTTCTGCGTCAAACTGACACAGATACATAGTCCTTTATAAAATTGTGACATTTTAAAATTTCATATTACATCTTATCAAAAAGCATCAATATCTTACAAGTGCAATGTATCATCGAATTATTATTATTATTTTGCTATATGAATTTGCTATATCTTGAAAATTCAATAGGTACATAAAGCTGCACATCTTTAATAAAATTAAAATTATGAAATGTAACAATTGTACATTCCAACATTAGCATGGCAAGCATCTCTAATGAAGAGTCTCTTAACTTTTTGGGAAACAAATGCTGAAGACCTGCCTTCCACAATTGTTGCTGCTCTTGTTATTTTGAAACTATACATTATAAGAATCTTTGTGTGTGTGTGTGTGTGTGGTGTGCGCATGTATGTTTAAGAGGTACTAGGTTTCTCATTCTGTTCTTCTATAAGCACTAATTTTTATCATTGTGTTCACTGTGTGCCTTTTAGAAATTGCTGAGTAAATTCATTTCCTTTAATCACATTAACAGATCAAAGGAAATGCCCAAACCATTTACAATCAGTTAATTGCTACAAGAATAATTTGAGACTGTCTGCTGGGCTGTTCTTCTAAAATCATGTATGAATTTTCCCCAAAAATTGTTCATTATTACTTAGCAATTCTATTTGGCAAGACTTTAGATCTGTCTCATCACCTAATGCACAGGCTTGTGCTTCTCTTTGCCAGGAACTGCAACTTCCCATTTCAAAGGCTGTATAGACTTTCTAGCATCTTCATTCACATAAATAATGCATTTAGTTTCCCTTACAGAAGGATACTGCCTGAGATTATTGAGCAGGGGGAAAGATGGAGGGCAAATGTAGACAAAACCGGGCACTATTAAGTAAACATCAGGTTATTCTTGAAATTGCCTATTATTTGGGACTGTACCGGTTGTGATAATCAAAAAAAATGTAGAGGATTAATTCTTTATTTACCCACTGTTTCTTCCTTCCACACTTGACAATTTCAAAATGTCTTTGTTCTTTTTTATGTGGTTGATATTATGTATGGGATTTTATCTATCCATCTGACGCAGTAAGCTAATCAAGCAATGTTTCTGTATTCATTAAGTTAGTGTGCTGCATTGTGTGCTTTATAGCAGCTTCAAAATGTATGCTATTGATACCAAAAATGGGAACCTCTCCAAGTTTGTTTCAACTTACAAATTGGAGTTTCATAAAAACAAATTTGTTAAGGCACTCATGATTTGCTGTATGGTCAAAATTGTAGCACCCTGTTTCTTATCCACCTATAGAATAGATTATGGATGGGAACCTTGCTGGTAGGCTATTTATCATCATCATATCCAAGACAGCAAATTGATTTAGGAATACCACAATAATGCACATCTTTTATCTTCCAGCAAAGAGGAATCTAGTAAGTTTGTGAAAATACCTCCATTTCATTGTAGCAACCAATATTTCCCGCTTTCTTTGCAGAACCCAATTTGGCCCTTTCCATATCAAAAGCGATACCTGTTTGGTGAGCAATGAATGCTGTTCTTTTATGCAAGAAATCTGGGATGTGATGGAATCTGATCTCTGTTATGTTTTAAAGAAAAAAAATCCATCTTAACTTATCAGGAGATAAGGTCATTGTTGGATTCTGATTAGAGTGAAATACAGAATTTAGCAGATATAATAAAATTTAGAATGGACCAATAGAAGCATGTCAAGGGAGTTTCCATAAAGTTGAGTTTGGAAACAAAGTTTTACCGCCTATATGCATGCTTGCTTTAGGAATACTCAACATGCATATTTG